CGGAAACGGCCGATCGTTCCACGTGGAACGATCCTCTCCTTCGGGAGCCAACGCCAGGTTCGACACGGCGCGAACTCGGGTAGATGGGGTCGGAGGATGGCGCAGCCTGCCGATTTTCTCCATCCCGGCGTCACCCGAGGCGGGCCCGATTCGGGCGGCCACGGACGAGGTGCTGAACGCAATAAACGTTTCTGGCTTCTCGGACGTCATAGCCCGCTCTCTCGGTGCGGCGTTCTTGTCCGATGTCCGTCAACGTTCCAAGAGCAAACACTTGCATGAACATCATTTCGCAGAGCTCCGCGCGGATTTGTCGGATCCGCGTTAAGAACCCCCCGGCGGCGCCTCCGGCGCCACCCCTGGCGCGCTCCGCGCGCCAGCCAGGGGGGCCCAGCGCAGGTCCAAGAAATCCACGCGGAGCTGCAAAAGGTTTATGTTTATGTTGTTGTTTCGTTCTCGACGCATGCCTGTCCTGCGGTGCCCACGTGTTAGGGGGGCCGAGTGACGGCGGCAGCGCGTGCCGCCTGCTGACCGATTCGCCAAGAGGCTTCGGGAAAACACTTCCGCTGACACCCTCCTTGCACTCTGCATGCCTTTCGTTGGCGCAGCATCTGCAGATGATGTGCGCGTGTGTTGCTTTGATGAAGTGGGCATGCCGACGACACACTTTTCTCTCATAGCACCTCGCCTCAGGGTCTTAATGATTGACGCTTCTCGTATCCCCGCCAGCTCGTCCAGAACCGCTGCCCATGCGAGTTGTCGCACGAGCCTCGTAGGGACTTGGGAGGAGGAGGAGGAGGAGGAGGAAAATGAGAAGGAGGAGGATGATGCCATTGCGGATCTTTCGCTCCGAGAGCATACTGAAGGATTGCTGCAACCATTGGAAGAGGGAATATCACATCCCTTCTGCCACCTGCGCCCAGAGCCGGCGCCACCCCAACATACTTATACTATATGTGCGTCGCCCCCCCAGGGGCGACGCGCGCACCGAGAAATCTTATAGCATATGTGTCGCGGTGGGCGCTTTCTGGCCACACCGTTCGGCAAAGGATATACTACAAGATGGGTATACTATATGCTCGGGTCGGACGCGCGCCTCCAAGGTGAACATGTTGCACTAGCATGTCTCTGTGCGTTCCGCAGAGAGTTTGCGGGATAGCGTTACTACTGGATCCAGAATCTCTCCCGTGAGGGTCCCAGCGCGCCCCCGCCAGCTGCCGGCCCCCTGCTGCGATCCGTCCTCTCATCGAGCAGGATGCCTCCCGGGCGGAGCCTCTCGGGAGCCTCTCGCGAGGGTGCCCTCCGCAGGCGGCACGTATGCACCACCACCGAGCCTGGCCAGGGCCATTCTGGGCCCCACTATGGTTAGGTCGGGCCTGTCCCCCACACAGGAGGATTGTCGACGAAAAATAAATCACCCTGGCGACGTACCCAACCCCTGCACAACACGGGGCATGAGTAGCTTGGGAGACGTTATACGGAGGTGATGACGTGACATGGGCGCATCTACTTCTGCAAGGGGCATTCGTGAGGCTCGCAGCCCCCAGGGGTTGCGATGTCCCGCTCAGATCTGCCTGGTGCCTCGCTCCGCTGGACCCACCAGCAGCCCTCGAAAGTGGCGACAATTTTGCAGATCGCAGCCCCCCAGGGACGGCGAGGTCCCGCTCAGATCCGCGCGGTGCCTCACTCCGCAGGACCCACCAGCAGCCCTCGAAAGTGGCGACAATTTCGCAGATCGCAGCCCACCAGGGACGGCGAGGTCCCGCTCAGGTCCGCGCGGTGCCTCACCCCGCAGGACCCACCAGCAGCCCTCGAAATGGCGACATTTCGCATATCGCAGCCCCCCCAGGACGGCGAGGTCTCGCTCAGGTCCGCGCGGTGCCTCACCCCGCAGGACCCACCAGCAGCCCTCGAAAGTGGCGACTCGCAGATCGCAGACCCCAGGGACGGCGAGGTCCCGCTCAGGTCCGCGCGGTGCCTCACTCCGCAGGACCCACCAGCAGCCCTCGAAAGTGGCGACAATTTCGCAGATCGCAGCCCCCCAGGGACGGCGAGGTCCGCTCAGGCCCGCGCGGTGCCTCATTCCGCAGGACCCACCAGCAGCCCTCGAAAGTGGCGAATCGCAGCCCCCAGGGACCCTCGAAAGTGGCGACAGTTTCGCAGATCGCAGCCCCCAGGGACGGCGAGGTCCCGCTCAGGTCCGCGCGGTGCCTCACTCCGCAGGACCCACCAGCAGCCTCGAAAGTGGCGACAGTTTCACAGATCGCAGCCCCCCAGGGACGGCGAGGTCCCGCTCAGGTCCGCGCGGTGCCTCACCCCGCAGGACCCACCAGCAGCCCTCGAAAGTGGCGACAGTTCCGCAGATCGCAGCCCCCCAGGGACGGCGAGGTCCCGCTCAGGTCCGCGCGGTGCCTCACCCCGCAAGACCCACCAGCAGCCCTCGAAAGTGGCGACAATTTCGCAGATCGCAGCCCCCCAAGGACGGCGAGGTCCCGCTCAGGTCCGCGCGGTGCCCCACCCCGCAAGACCCACCAGCAGCCCTCGAAAGTGGCGACAATTTCGCAGATCGCAGACCCCCAGGGACGGCGAGGTCCCGCTCAGGTCCGCGCGGTGCCTCACCCCGCAGGACCCACCAGCAGCCCTCGAAAGTGGCGACCGTTTCGCAGATCGCAGCCCCCTAGGGATGGCGAGGTTCCGCTCAGGTCCGTGCGGTGCCCCGCCCCGCAGGACCCCCCAGCAGGCCTCGAAAGTGGCGACAGTTTCACAGGTCGCAGCCCCCCAGGGATGGCGAGGTCTAATTTGAATCTGCGTGTGGCGTCACGGTGCTGGGCCCCCCCCAGCAGGCCTCGAAAGTGGCGACAGTTTCACAGATCGCAGCCCCCCCAGGGATGGCGAGGTCTAATGTGAATCTGCGTGTGGCGTCATTGTGCTGGGCCCCCCAGCAGGCCTCGAAAGTGGCGACAGTTTCACAGATTGGAGCCCCCCAGGGATGGCGAGGTCTAGTTTGAATCTGCGTGTGGCGTCACTGTGCTGGGCCCCCCAGCAGGCCTCGAAAGTGGCGACAGTTTCACAGATTGCAGCCCCCCAGGGATGGCGAGGTCTAGTTTGAATCTGCGTGTGGCGTCACTGTGCTGGGCCCCCCAGCAGGCATCGAAAGTGGCGACGGTTTCGCAGATCGCAGCCTCCCCAGGGATTGCGAGGTCTAATGTGAAACTGCGTGTGGCGTCACTGTGCTGGGCTTCCCAGCAGGCCCCGAAAGTGGCGACAGTTTCACAGATCGCAGCCCCCCAGGGATGGCGAGGTCTAATTTGAATCTGCGTGTGGCGTCACTGTGCTGTGCTGGGCCCCCCAGCAGGCCTCGAAAGTGGCGACAGTTTCACAGATCGCAGCCCCCCAGGGATGGCGAGGTCTAAGTTGAATCTGCGTGTGGCGTCACTGCGCTGGGCCCCCCAGCAGTCCTCGAAAGTGGCGAAAGTTTCACGGATCGCAGCCCCCCAGGGATGGCGAGGTCTAATTTGAATATGCGTGTGGCGTCACTGTGCTGGGCCCCCCCAGCAGGCCTCGAAAGTGGTGACAGTTTCACAGATCGCAGCCCCCCAGGGAAGGCGAGGTCTAATTTGAATCTGCGTGTGGCGTCACTGTGCTGGGCCCCCCAGCAGGCCTCGAAAGTGGCGACAGTTTCACAGATCGCAGCCCCCCAGGGATGGCGAGGTCAAATTTGAATCTGCGTGTGGTCCGTAGCCATTTTGGCTCAAGCCGCTTACATGGTTGTCCACGCTTCTGTAGTGATCATGGCGAGCGAACAGGGTGCACCACCTAAGGGACGGCGCCCAGCCATTTCCCTTGTTGCCGGTGTAATGCGCATAGTCATGATCAGCCTTGTGCTCTTTCCTGCATTTGCTCCAGTTTGGATGGGCTATGGATGGAGTGGATATGGGCAGGATACTACCACGTCAGAAAGCATTTCCCACCTAAGCCTCATCAACACATGCAATGGGGTAATAGATGCATCGTATTTTCCACATCCAGATTGGGACGCTTGGGGAGACACCTACCACTTTAGAATAGTTGCGAGCACCATCACTTCACTTCTAGTGGCCGTGTGTGCTGCTGTTGGTTTAAGATACGTACCCACCGCGTCTGTGTTTGTCATCCATGCCCGATGTTGGCTTCTGCTGAATTGGTTATTGGCTTTAGGGTGGAATTTCGGAAGGGCTTATCAATGGTGTGATACGAGATCTCCGAATCCTGGCACTTGGCTGTGGAACATTCGGCAGGTCGTTTGGGCGTCTTCTGCCACCTACCTCAGCTTCTTGCTGCGAATGAGGATTGCGGCTCTGCAGCGTGCCCAGGGTGAAGAGAGCCACCTGAAAAGGATTTCTGCCGTCATTGCACTTCAGTGCGTGGTGTTGCTCGGTGTCAGTGCCTGCGTTGTTGTTCGGCGCACGACGGCTGTGTCGCAGGATTGGTTTGGCACGTTGGCCCAGACCCTGCTGTCGATAATCTTGGCACTCACAGTGGTCGGTCTTGCGATAGCAGTCCATGCTTTTAGGAATCCGCTCCGTGTTGCCCGAAACGTCGCGCAGCAGACCGTTGGACGCCGTGGAGAGGAGGCTCAGCGGAGCTATCGCACAGTGCGACGGCAGCTGATGGCAACATTGTTTTGCGGCGTTACATCTACGTTGGCATTGGGGACGGAATTTGCGTCGCACGTGTTGTACGTTTATCACCAAGACGAGCACGACTACATATATGAGATCTTCAAGACATTCTTCTACGGATTCGACCTGGTCGCGAATGCGGTTGTCGTATTGCTGCTGTCGGGGTTGGTACGCGTCCATGAGCCCTCGCGAGTTGTTGCTTAGTGCACTGCGAATTCTGCTAAACCTTGCACCGATGCATCAGGAAGTCAAGAATGGGACGATAAAGTAAAAGAGCTATCGGAGCGGGGCATTACACTAGGGGCACTCCTAGGCTTCTACGCTGGACTTGGACAGCGCTACATGCCTCACTTCAACCCAGATGTGCATTCCACAGCCGACGTCGTCCGGCAGGCCGTCATTCCGCTCACGGCCGGCAACTCGGCCTTTGGGCCGTGCGCGTTGTCTACGCAGCTCATGGGAGGGGCCTCTATCCGGGCGGAGCGCATGGTTACGCATGCGTGGTCAAATAAATTCGCAGATCTTATTGCTGCCATTGTGGCGGATGCTCTTGGTCTCATCACGTATGAGGCGGTGCTGCCCAGGTTGAAACCAGCCGAATTGCCAGTGTTAATGAAGGAGTTGCACCAGAGGGGCTTTCTGGGGATTTCGTATTGGGTCTGTGCTGCTTGCGTCAATCAGCATGCAGGAATATGTGGTGCGAACCCAGGGCAGCAGCAGGATCCAGTCAGCGGCAGAGTACATCCTGTCTGCAGTTGTAATCACCCTAAATTCTGGAACAGCACGCCGCCATTGCGCTTCGACGGGGAGGGGGTTTTGTGTGAGATGAACAAGTTTGATGACATGATGCTCTATCTCAGCTCGAATGACCCGTCCTTCCGGCAGGTCATAGCCATCGACCGCGAGTTCGATTTGTTCAAGCGGGCATGGTGTGTTAGCGAGATTCATTTGGCGCACTCCTCGTACATAAACGCAGCTGTCAAATTCCATACCCACAAGAGCCTCGAGCTGCACCAAAACATTTTGATGAATCTGCGCGTGCAGGACATGGAGTCGTCCAGGCCAGAGGATAAGGCCATGATCCTCGGGAAGATCGACAACTTGGATGATTTCAACGAAACCCTAAGGTGGATCGTTCTGGACGAGGACACCGGCATCTTCGCAAATTGCCAGGACAGCCTGCAGGCCTCAGGCAATCTCGGCAAGATCGTCCGGACAACACTCTATTCGAATAGCTCCGCGCCGTCTACCCCGTCCTCATTCTTTGCATGCGTTGCTCGCACGCCCTCGCCCTCAGTCTGATGCAAATGCGCGATGCAGTTCGCTTGGATGCGTATTGATTGAACCAGGTTGTAGATACGTGAATCCTCGGACTAGTGCTATGCCCAGCGAGGTATGCTGTGGCTGGGCATCCGTGTGAGCTGGCAGCAATTGTGAGCTGGCTGGGCGCCAACGTGCGGCACAACCATGGTTCCGGTATGAAAGTGTGCAAAATGTTCAAACGCTGATTCTGTTCGGTCCAGTTTTTTTGGCTGGGCATGGCTTCTGCTCCTCCCCCGAGACAGCCCAGCATGCAACGCCCACGCCCCTCTCCCCCCCCAAATTTCTTCTCTCCCATGCAGTCAACAAACCGCGCGCGGCGGGTTCGTGGGGCCTGGGGGCACAGAAGCTGCCGCCAGTTGCCCCCTCTTCCTCGTCCTCCCCTTGGGCCCTCCTCGTCCTCCTCCTCGTCCTCCTCCTCCTTCTCCCTGCCCTGCTCTGACCCCCTGGGCTGCACGGGCGGTCGGGGGGTTCGGAGTTTTGTGTCGGCAGGTTCGTTGGCCTCGGACAGGGTATACATGTTAGGCCGAACACCAGCCGATTAAAGAACGTCACCGTTCGTTCGCATCTGTAGGACACGTACCGAGCGTAAAGCCGTTCGGTTGCATGAGTTCATCCATTCCTCCTCACCCTCTTCCTCCTCCTCCTCCTCCTCCTCCTCCTCTCCGCCCGCCGTCTTCCTATCCCCTTCTCTCAAGGAGGTCCGATCTAACTCTGGATCTTTCTAACATGTGAACGCAAGTGTCAGATTCTACTGGCCACACCACCACCAGAGTGCACGTCGTGGTAGCATGCTCGTGAATGTCAAAGAAAAAATTGAATCTGCGTGTGGCGTCACTGCGCTGGGCCCCCCAGCAGGCCTCGAAAGTGGCGACAGTTTCACAGATCGCAGCCCCCCAGGGATGGCGAGGTCAAATGTGAATCTGCGTGTGGCGTCACTGTGCTGGGCCCCCCAGCAGCCTTCGAAAGTGGCAACAGTTTCACAGATCGCAGCCCCCCAGGGATGGCGAGGTCTAATTTGAATCTGCGTGTGGCGTCACTGTGCTGGGCCCCCCAGCAGGCCTCGAAAGTGGCGACAGTTTCACAGATCGCAGCCCCCCAGGGATGGCGAGGTCAAATGTGCATCTGCGTGTGGCGTCACTGTGCTGGGCCTCCCAGCAGCCTTCGAAAGTGGCAACAGTTTCACAGGTCGCAGCCCCCCAGGGATGGCGAGGTCCTGTTTGGATCCGCGGTGAGTGCCCTCTGCTGGCCTCCCCAGCAGGCCTCGAAAGTGGCTACAATTTCACAGGTCGCAGCCCCCCCAGGGATGGCGAGGTCCTGTTTGGATCCGCGGTGAGTACCCTCTCTGCTGGCCTCCCCAGCAGCCCTCGAAAGTGGCGACAGATTCACAGATCGCAGCCCCCCAGGGATGGCGAGGTCCTGTTTGGATCCGCGGTGAGTGCCCTCTCTGCTGGCCTCCCCAGCAGCCCATCGAAAGTGGCGACAGTTTCACAGGTCGCAGCCCCCCAGGGATGGCGAGGTCCTGTTTGGATCCGCGGTGAGTACCCTCTCTGCTGGCCTCCCCAGCAGCCCTCGAAAGTGGAGACAGTTTCACAGGTCGCAGCCCCCCAGGGATGGCGAGGTCCTGTTTGGATCCGCGGTGAGTGCCCTCTCTGCTGGCCTCCCCAGCAGCCCTCGAAACTGGCGGCAGTTTCACAGATCGCAGCCACCCAGGGAGGGAGAGGTCTCGCTCAAATCTGCGCGGTGCCTCAACCCACACGGTGAGAGGAGACAAGAGGGAGGCGGGAGGCGGCAGGCGAGAGGAGCAAGACGCGACCACGGTGCTCTATTCAAAACGAATACCCAACCAAGGAGGGTTGGGAAAAATGGTCCAAAAATGGTATGAGGACTATTTCTGAATATTTTTAGACCTTTTTGTATTATTTTGGGGGTAATTTTTAATTTTCCGTCGAAAATCCCCCTGTAGGGGGACAGGCCCGACTTAAATCTATGCACCACCACCGTGCCCAGCCAGGGCCATCCCGGGCCCCACTGTGGTGTATACGCCCCCCCGCCGAGAGGCGTTTCGCTAGGGGGCTCCACGAGTGGGAGAAACAGAAACAAGAAAGCATGGATCCGACGAAGGCGTCTGTACACCACCACCGTGCCTGGCCAGGGCCACCCTGGACCCACCGTGGTGTACAGGCCCCCCCGGGCACGGGCCCGGCGAGCGCGCACACCATGCCAGGGCCCAGGCTGGCCCTGGCTGGCTACGGCGGAGGTGACCAGATGCCTTCTGCGTGCGCTTAGGTCGGGCCTGTCCCCCTACAGGGGGCTTTTCGACGGAAAAAAAAAACAAAAATAACATAAAAAATACCCTCCAAAATACCCCCCAAAGGTCAAAACAATGTTCGAAAAATAGTCCCCAGACCATTTTTGGATAATTTTTGGATCATTTTTGGATTATGTTTGGGGTATTTCTCATTTTTCGTCGAAAATCCACCTGCAAGGGGACAGGCCCGACATGAGTGTGCGTCCGCGCTTCGGTCGGTTCGGCTCTGTTGCGGCCAGCTGCGCTCCGGTCGCTCGTTTCGGTCGGTCTCCGTGCCATTGTCGGGGGCTCCCAAACGGGGTGGTGACCACACCGTGTGGTGAGTCGGTGGGGACTCGGGGTCACCGCACGGTTTTGGGACTCGGGTCGTTCTCCGAGGATGTCTCGGGCGGCTGGAGCCTCCAGGGTCCCAAAACCGTGTAGTGTCAGGAGGAAAAGAAACACACAGACACAATTAATCCTCGATTCCCCAAAAAATATGAGAAAATATGGGAAGTGGGGGGGAAGACAGAAACCCAGAAAATATGGGAAAATATGGGGGATATTTTTATTTGTGTGTACTTATTTGTGTGTCCTAATTTCCCTTTATAGTGACGGACCGTGCGGTGAGGTCTTTGCGGATTTCGAGGTCACCGCCGGGTCTGTCACCACACGGTTTTGGGACACCCAGCGCTGCTGCGCCGCCGCGCCTTTCTGGGCTGCCTGCGGCCTGTCGGTTTCGGTCGGTCCCGGTCTCCGCCGTGGTGCCTCGGTCGGTTTTCGGTTGCGCTGGCGCCGTGGACCGCCTCTGCCTCGGGAGCCTCCCAGGAGCCTCCCAGGAGGAGGAGGAGGAGGAGGAGGCGGAGGAGGAGGAGGAGGTGGAGGAGGAGGAGGAGGAGGAGGAGGAGGAGGAGGTGGAGGAGGAGGAGGAGGAGGAGGAGGAGGAGGAGGTGGAGACGGAGGAGGAGGAGGTGGAGACGGAGGAGGAGGAGGAGGAGGAGGAGGAGGATGAGGAGGAGGAGGCAAGGGCCTCTCAGGACCCTGACCTTTGTGGGACCCTCAAGGCCCCCTCAGGAGCCTCCCAGGACCCTCCCAATAGTCTTCCAGCGGCCTCTCCAGGGCCTCTCAGGACCCTGATCTTTTCGCTCAGGCCTCCCAGGACCCTCCCAATAGTCTTCCAGCGGCCTCTCCAGGGCCTCTCAGGGCCCTGACCTTTTCGGGATCCTCTCAAGGCCCCCTCAGGATCCTCTTCTGGAGCCTCCCAATACCCACCCGAGAACCTCTCACCAGGAGCCATGTCGGGCAAGCCAGGGTCAAAGTGTCGTGTGGCCTGGCGATGCAAAGTTCAAGCTTGCGCACGACAGCCTGCCTTTCTCCGCGCTCCTCGCGCCTAGGAGGGAGGTCAGGCCATCGTCAATGCTGACCTCACCATCATCGGCCGCACATTTTGGTACGAACGAACTGGGTACGGACAGAGTGGGAACGAAGACTGACAGCAGCTCCTGCCCACTTTGAGAGCGAGGCCCGCTTTGGGTGCCGCCGCGGACGCTGTCCACCCGAGGCACACATCGCCCGCTGCCGGCTTCTGGCCAGACTTGCTGGCGGGAGTCGTGCTCACCTCCCAGGGCGCACACGGGGCCCCGCGGGCAGCTGCGCCTCGCGCGCCGCGGTCCGGGTCAGAGAGCTGCTGCCGACGCGGAGGCGCGAAGATGCCTGCGCGCCGCCGCGCCTCGCGGCCCGTCGGTGCGCGAAGCGTCAGGTGGCATGACTTGTGCGTGCCCACCACGGGCGTGCCAGACGTCGGCAGGCCACGCCTCCCTCCTCCCCCCCCCCCTCGAGGTCCCGCCCTTCGGCCACACGCGGAGGCGGGGGAGGGGGGAGCGGGGCAGAGGCTTCTTGGAGGCCTTCCCTGCTTCTCGGAGGGCGCGGGCCTTCTCTGCAGATGCGCAGGGCCGGCGCCCTCTGAGAAGCTAAGAAGCTTCCCCCCCCCCCTCCTCCTCCTCCTCCTCCTCCTCCTCCTCCTCCTCCACCTCCTCCTCCTCCTCCGCCTCCGTAGCCATTTTGGCTCAAGCTGGCTCTTCGTGTCTGCTCGGTACCGTTTCGTGTACTTGCAGTCGGGCGCTTGGGCATGGCGGCGGTCTCGCTCTGCCAGTCTGTGGCGAGTATTGTGTGCGGCCAGCCGTCCGCCGCGCACGTCCTTGCTGTGGCGCTTGGTGCTGCAGCGGGCGGCGCATCGCGCCAAACGGCGGCGGCGAGGGTGTCTGCCGCTATCCGGACATCCTGCGACGGCGTCGACGGCGTCCAGCAGGAGGTCGCAGCCAGGCTGGCCATGGTGGAGCCAGCCCTCACGGAGCTGGTTAAGGCGGGACCCACAGGGGAGGCCGAGATCAGCGGGGACATGACGGCCATGCGCAACGCCGGCCTACACGTAGACATGGGCTGCGGCGCAGATGACCTCCCGCAGACGGGCCGCGAGGCCAAGCGGAGGCAGCGCGGCGGCCGCAAGGCCAAGGAGAGCCTCAAGATTGACGGGTCGCAGTGCTACAAGGGCGCCGATGCGGGCCCCGCCCCCCCCAGCGAGGACAAGGTCAAGGGCGGCGCCGGTGGGGAGGGGTGGGGGCCGCGGCCCGAGGAAGCAGACCTGTCGGAGACGGTGGACGACATGACGGATCTGGCGAGCGAGTCCGTGAGC